TTTTTATGTGTATTTTGGATTTAGATATTTTATGGTTATGAAAAAGGTTGTGAAAATTAAAAGATAGAAGTAAAAACAAAAATAAAAATGAAAACTGAATTGGAGTGTTTCGGTCCATTAAGTCGCATGCACTCCCATTCAGTGCTGCAGCTGGACCTGGTCAATGTGACGGTTACAGCAGAAGTATTAGAAACATGCAATCTGGTAAATTAAATAAAAAAATGAAAAATAAAATAAAAGATTTTTTGAAGGTCAAAAATTTAAAAGGCTGCCTCTATCATTACTTTTGTTGATGCGATAATAAGAGTGCCTATAAATAAGAATCGGATTTAATAGTGGTAAAAAATTTTAATGTCTAAACGAACGGTCGTGCAGAATTATATTATTAATAATAAGATCAAAGGGTTTTCAACTGTATATGCGTGATTCGAGTGCATTTTGTCCAGGGTTTTCAACTTGAGAATCACAAAAGTTTGCTCATGAACTGTGGAAATGAGGATGAGATGAATGAAGAGCTGGTTGCCCAACCCCTTAGTGAACCGTTAATCGTATTCTCGTTTGCGCAGTTACCACTGCATTTGCACGAATAATATAAATTCGCTTACCGGGCGTGCTCGCCTGTATCAATCGAGTCATGCGTGTATTAATTTTTAAAGTGTTTTTGCGCTGTCCTACATTAATTTATATGAATTTGCAAAGTACTGGTCCAGATAACAAGATCTGCAGTAGAGGGGCTCCAGAGACCGGCCTTATTGATCTGGGATGGACTAGCACTTACACTGGCCAAAAAAAAAAAAAACAAGTTTATCGCGTGGGACGGGTAGAGGGAAAAAACGCGAGAGTTCCCATGATGTTATTGAAAAAATGCACTTTTTTCAATGCATTATTTGAATTTTTGGAAAAAAACAGATCTGGAGCATGACACTTATTCATTTATAAGGTTTATATAAATTCGCTGCGAAACAGCAGCATGCCAGGTTCCTTGACAAGAAGCCATAGTTGA